TTGCAGCAGTTTATTTAACAGACAAATAGCAGGTGAAACATTTTCACCAATAGCTGATTCAGAACCAGACAAAACAAACCAAATAAGCACTGACTTCCATCATGTGCTCCTGCTCCAGGGGTGCTGCTCTGCTTTCAGCACCTGAAATTTTAGCTGCTGTTTTGCAGTAGGGAAATAAAAAAGGAACAGAAAGCCGTAATCAGCCTTTGAGAATGTGCCGTTGGTATTAGTACAGAGGCGGTTTTCTAACATCAGTCTTTTATGATCGGAATACTAAATGGGGTTATTTTCTCACTGCAAAACAATCTCTCCAGAGGGAGATTGCAGTTGGACAGTTGTAATGAAATTCTGGCAATTTGTTTCCCCTGTTCTTGTACAGTGATTTTTGTTTTGTTCTGTATGGGACTGTCCTTTCGTTTTCCTCCCGAAATGAGTTTATCCTGCCGGAGCCTGCATGCCTTGCTTCCCCTCCTCCTTTCCTCTGTTTCTGCAGCCTTCATCATGAGGGAGGGATCACCAAAAACCCCCAGAGACCTGCGACGCTGCCAGAAAAGTCTTGTGTGTCTTTTTTTGTATCGCCTCCTCTGAGTCTCTAGTCACTTCTGGGACAAGCAGAGCAGCAGCAGAAAGCACTCTTTTATAAAACTGTGGATATCAGGCCTTTGTGGTCCCAGTTTAAATGTATTATCAAGGCCTCATCACATGAAGTCCCAGCTATAACCTATATAGAAACAAACAAGGTTAATGATCTTGTCCAATCAGAATCTATTTAGTGCCGGTACACTGAAGTCACTATCCTTTTTGCATGGGCCATTCCAACTGATCTCCATACGTTAATGAAGATTTCATCTGTAATACCTTATGTTCACTGCACAAGGTCAGAGTTTTAATGAAAAAGTATACACTCCCAGAAATCCAAACTGTGTCAAGTGATGCGATCTCAGGGTGCATTTTCCCATTAACACCTTCCAATTAGTACCTTGTTTCTTCTAGGAACACCAGCGATGGTGAGAATTTTGTAGTACGCAAGCTGTTTACATTTTCTCTACTTATTTTATTCTGTACCTGCCGCACGGAGGTACTGGATGTGAAATCTGCAGTGTTGGTTCTGCTTGAATAGTTCGTTATGCTAATGAATGTTTCCCACGGAATTTGTTTCTTGTAAAGGCTTCAACAGGAGACATTCAAGGCAAAGCACGCAGGTATCCAGCTTGAACACAAATGGAAATTGAAAAGATTAACTGTGTTCTGTGAAGCCTGGAAATGACAACAGTCATCTTAGGGCTGCTTTATGCAATGCCAGAAATGCATAACACTGCAAATGGATTGGCAGTGAACAACATGATGCAGGACATATTTAAGATCGGAGTTTCTCAGCTTCCCACTGTCTCTGCTCATGATAAGTAAGCAGCAACAGAAATACATAATGGGTTTATGAATTGTTTTCAGGACAAAATGTCTACCATCGGGTCTAAATATGCTGAAAACGGAGGTGCTCTATTTAGAACATCCCTTGAAAATCCCTCCTTTTCATGACATGAATTTACATTTTCGAATGAATCACTCCATCTTGCTTGGCCGATGCAGTGTTTAAAATGAAGCCCAGGACTTGTGGCCTTGGTCCCTTAGCTACAAGGAGAGCATGGCAAGTGACCTGATCAATAACCTCCATCTTCACAATCAACAGACTTCTGACCTCAACCAAGGACTTCCCATTAGCATTTCAAGATGTTTCTCATAGCGTGCACAGGTTTTGCAAAGAGAATACCCCTTATCGGTCTAACAGGGTAAAAGCACGAAGGTCAAGCAGCTCTGCCCACTTTGCGTGAGTGAATATGCCTGAAAGCTGTACAGTATGCTGAGCCCTTACAGCCCATGTAGGAGTACCAAGTCCTGGGCAGACCATGAACACAAAGAGACATGAGACATAAAGAGGCCAAGAGGAGATGTTTTGTAAAGTATCAGAGAACATATAGACATTTTTGTCTTATTTTTTATTACAAAGTGATTTTGCTGTTAATTTTTACATGGAACTGTCCTTCTTTAACATTTTCTAGCATTCTTACAACTGGAAACAAAGTCTAACTGGATTTTATTCAGTTGCTTTTCAAATGATTTTCTTTTTCTCTCCACACATCAGGCAGTTTTTAATGCTGTGTAAGAAAATGTCAATAATAAGTGTTCGTCTGTTGTGTTAACAAGTTCATTGTTCCATTTCAACATACTGATGTCAAATGAAGTTGTATGATGCCTTGAAACATTATTGGTACATTAATTTATTTTTGACAGATTGAAACCTTGAGGAACTGTTAGTTGAGGCTTAATTTGCAGTAAATTGGTTGCAACAGCAGTAGCTGATAAGAAATTTTAATTGCTCCTGTTCGTTATTCAATGTGACAAAGGCGCCATTCTGGAATTTATTGTTCAGCAGCCTGCCATTTTGAAACGATGCATTTAGCCTGATGTATTGATTTGTGTTAAATTAGCTTTGACTTTTTCCAGTGTGAGAGTCTTCAGTTTTGTTCTCATTCCATGCTTTATTTTTTGTTTTCTTGTTTTATTTCAAAGATTAGCTTTAGAGGTGAAAATACAGTATGCTAAATGCGTTTTTGCAAGAAATAAATTTGGTCAGTACACCCTGGACCAACAGCACTAGTTTATTTGAATTCAGGAAGAAGCAGGGACATTTGTCTTAAATGTGTCTTAATCTGCTTTCCCACACCTGGCAAATCCCATGAATAGCCATCCATCTATCCACTTCAACCAATCCAGTGTGTTGGGGGAGCAAGAGACTATCCTGGCACACAATGGAATATCAGTCCATTGCAAACTTTTTTGATTCTAACTTGCTTGGTTTCACGTTTGTTACAGTAGTACATTTAATAAAGTAATCCGTAATGTGCACAGGTTGCGTGTTGATAGGGTGGGCTGTGCATGCTTGTTACACAAGGGACACATATAACTTGAAGTGAATTCAATCACTGTCGTTCACACTTCACTTCGCTTAGACGTAAAAGATGCGTTTGCAGTTTTCTTTTCATAAAGCATCAAAAAGTCTCTGTATCTTTTCAGTTTGATGACATTGCAGTTTTAGTTCAGAATCGTTAGCGCTTTGTTCTCTGCTGCACACCGGTTCCTGCAGTAGGGTGTCATGGAGATTCCGTCAGCAAATACTCAAAGCTTCTCAAGCACATGCATGATTGAACATTCAGGCAGATGTCAATTTATCTTGTTAAAAGGAAATTCAAAATGATAATATTAGTCTGTCAGCATGTACCAGTCTGCCCTGTGTAATATTTTCCATGTGTTAGTAGTTAATTATCTGTAGTGTGTCTTCATACAGTCTCTTATTCTGGTGACGCTTGAGTGTGAGCTACTGTATCTTTCTTCCCAAATGATGTCCCTGTGGTTCAGATGCTGCCTTCCAGCTAAATAAATCTCTCGGTGTAGCAAGCGTGATGTCAGGTGTGTGTGCGAGTGTGTGTATGAATTGGGTTTGTCTTTCAGCCATAGAAGCCAGTTAATAATTTAAATATGTCAGACTGGATAGCTTCCCAATTTGAAGGCAACAGTAATAGCATTTTGGAATGAACAAGAAAGATTTAAATAATAGGAAATTATTTCTGTTCCGATAGAGCACCAAAATTCCATTTGCTACCTACTATACTGTACATTTACACAAATATTGAGGTGTGTTATTCCACTTTTAGCACTGGTTAAGGACTTGATGTACCCATTGTTCATGTGCTTCTGATTGTACCAGTAGAACTAATTTGGTAGTGCTGTTCAGATCTGTAAAGTACTCAATTTAAGGATACATACTATTTAACACAGAAGAACATTGATAACATTTGTCACAATTATCCAAAGTGTTTTTTATTTTTGTAGAGAGTTATTTGTAGTTTGCCTTTACATTCTGGGTTGAATATGGAAAATGCAGGCACCTGACATAAAGCACTAGTGCTGTTCTATCACCAGCAGAAAAAATATGCAAATTAATCCAACAAATGGAAAATATCTTCTAAAAAAGCTTATGGGCAACACCCACTTAAAACCTGACTTTCCTTCTCCGTTTTTAAAATGATAGATTTAGAACACAAAGTTTTAAATTGAAGAACACAGAACATATTTACAGTTCACACACCACAACAATTTTCAGTGAGAAAAGCATAAAAGCAGCCTACGTTAATTGGCCCAGTTATTCAAAGGTATTAAGTGTTACTTTGACAGCATATCAATACAGGAAAAATGTCCAGCTACTTTATAACGGATTTAGGCCGATACCTTAATTATAAAACCCCCCTTTGTTACTTATTGAAATTGACATTTTATTTTATTTAGTTCAAGATAATGTCATGCTGGATTCCATGATTTTGTTGAAAGTGTTTAACCATAAAATCAGAGAGGGCATAGCTACATGCTGTTTGTGAGACATTACAAATTTGACTTTTTACAATGTATTATGATTTATTCATAACATTTAAACATTTTGCAGTTCATTTTTCTGGTGCTTTCAGGGCCAAGACTTTTTATAGTACACAATTAAGTTTTGTGTCTTAAGCAAGGCTAATAGAAATGTTGCCAGGAAATTGTGTATGGTTCTGCAAGTACATGTAAGGTTGAAAAGGATGGCACTGTATAAATCTTTATTAATTTCACCGCAAGTCAGATGCAGTAATGTCTTAAATCAGATCTGTCATGTCAAATGGCACACAGTGAATTTGCTGTCCCACATATTTAGAGTGCTGTAAATATTTTACATTTAATAGTAGCGTTTTATATTAATATAACTACAGTATAGAGCTCAATGTGATTTTATGTTTAAAATGGGGGATTCTAATCCTTAATTGGGGACACATCGACTGCATGATTCTAAAGGGGTCAAGCAGCCAATGGATCATGCAGCTCGAATGGATCACTGTATTTAAGTGGCTGTTTTCCTGGATTACTGGAATGGATTGCTGTATTTAAATGACTGTTTCTCTCCTCGGCTGTGTCAGGTACTCTGAAGAAGAGATCAGGCAGAAGGTGGGCACGTTCCGGCAGATGCTGATGGAGAAAGAAGGAGTGATAACCCGAGAGGACCCTCATGGGTGCCCAATGTAAGTGCTCTTCTCCCTCACAAAATCCCAGCTTGCCCTGCCTGGACCCTGCTCTTTTACGTAACTGCTGGCCTGCAGTGCAGCTCAAACCATCTTGACAGTCGTCGCCTTCTGGGGAAATACAGAACCATAATGAAGGTTTTTCCTGAGGCAACGTGATTCAATCTGATTTCTTGCCAGTGTTTGTTAGATCTTTGTGTGTTTGTGTGACTGTACAGAAACACATATAGCGTCATATATATATATATATGAATCTTCTGAAGGCTTCAAGTCTGACTATGTACCTATGAGAATATACAGTACAAACTCCATGCAGATAGCACCCCAAGAATTGAACCTAGGACCCCAGCAGTGTGAGACGGCAGTTCTCACCGCTGTGCCAACATATTAGTAAGATAATAATAATAATGTTTCTTTATTAGCCCTATACAATTTCTTGCATTAGGAATTTGTCTTTTCGCATACCCCACCTTTTCTCCATGGAGACACAGACACTCAGACAGGGAGAGAAGCTTGGGGTCAGAGCGCAGGGTCAGCCATTGTACGGCGCCCCTGGAGCAGTTGGGGGTTAAGGGCCTTGCTCAGGGGCCCAACGGAGTAGGATTCTTCTGCCAGCCACGGGATTTGAACCGGCAACCTTCCAGTCACAGGTGCAGATCCTAAGAACAGGACAAAGTGGAGGACAAAGAGTGTGACCAAAGGAACTCTGCAATTATTACAGATAAGAAATTGCACCCCTGTCTCATAAGCAATTCGGTATACAAGAACACTAGCTAAATGCACTGTTGAACTCCAAATAAAATAAAGTATATCAAATCCAAATGAGATCACAGTTGTAAAGAAAAACAGCTCAGATTGTTTTGAATAACAAAGCTGTGAATAAACTGTAAAGACCACTATGTTCAAAATGATTCACATGTTGAGAACCCTCTAATGCATTGACTGATGAAGTCAACCTTGGGGACCTTTTGAGAGTAACTCTGGAACACAGAAACACAAAACAGAGAACACAAGGGGAAACTAAGTGTGTTTCAAACCGAGAAAAGGGGGCAGTTCTTTACCCAAAGGGTTATGGGAGTATGGGACAAGCTACCAAAGTTGTAACACACAACAGACAACATTGTTGAAGGCAATATCCTAGCCTCTTTCAAGAACTGGCTGGATAAGATCTCTAGATCAATTAGATACGAACTACCAAACAGGCAAGATGGGACAAAAGGCAGCCTTTTCTTTGTCTTTCTTTCTATGCCCTTATTAATCTGTTATAATTGAAGGATGAGCAGGGCAGATGGGGATCATGGCTTTTGAAGACAAATAAACACACAGAGTGATTGGTGAACTTTGCCATTCACAATAAAATCTGCTAACTATGAGGCTGGATTGTCGAAAAGTAAATTAGCGAAGACAAAATGTCCAAATACATGTGACACAGATTGTGCAACAGATGGCCGTGATTTCATCTCCCCACTTGTTCAGTGTTTTTCAGAACAAATAGTTGCTTTTTATCCCTTATGAGAGGCAAGTGTACAGCACATTTTATTAAACACACTCACGTCTACGTTTCACCAAGGATTTCAGATTTAATTTAAGAAGTATAGAATGTTGTAATCGTTTTTATATGACTGTACACATCGCATACAATATTGATGAGATTGCTAGGCAACTTCAAATATTACATAAATGTTGAAGGTTTCCAGTTTTAATTTAAGTCTGTTAGATTCCTGAAAAACAGCAACGACTTCTGTTTCCCTGAACACTAGGGATACGTGTTGAATGAAGTCCGTGGGAACTTTCTCTCTGCTTGGTGTGTCTTTTATTTGTGAAATATCTGAACAGGGAGTGTTACATGGGAGAACACAGATTACATGAAGCATTTCTACACTGGAGAGATACAGTCTCCCAGAACAGGACTTCCTACAATCCGTTTTTCTCCTTTTAGTCTTGCAATAGCCTTCAGTCGTGAATATTTGGGCACAGGTGAACAGGTTGGGTAATAATAGTGAATAATAGTGAATAATAGTGAATTAATAGTGAAAACAAAGCTCAGGACAGCCGGGAAGGGGGTGTTCTTCTTTGGTTGCTAACAGCTAACCAAATCCGAGAATTTCAACCAGCCATATCTTGACAGAGGCCTCGTTATTGGCTATGACAGTTCGACTTCTGGCGTTTACCAGACAGTCACTGCCCTTTGTGTTGACAAGAGCCTTCTGTTCTCAGTTTGATTATCCTCTCCTGTTCAGTCCCACTTGCGTGGTGAACCTGGTGAAATTCACACTGTAGGTCTGACTTTGTCCAGGATTACTTGTAAAGGATTTAAGGATTACTTGTAAAAGGTTTCCTTGCAGTCTTCTCTGTTCAAATCTAAAGGTTCATGTCTTTTTTAGCCTGTCAATGTAGGACATTCCTTTAAGCCCAAGAAGGTATCTGTCCAGTCGTCCCTGTTTCTAATCCCACAACAGCAAAATCTCTTTTGTAATGTGGTGACCTGAATTGTACATTCTAAATGAGGTCTTGTAGTGTATTGTGGAGTTTTAACAAAACATCCCATGATTGATATTGATACTTAGGTATTATATATCCTCATACTGTGTTTGCATTTTTTCCCCTCATAGTCTAGAAGAGACATCTTCTTCATTTGTCTGCACTACTAGACCCAATGCAAGCTGTAGTGTCTTTGCATGAAAAAAAAAAACCCTAGCGATTAACCGATAATGTGGATCTCAAAACTCCACACAAGCTCTTGGAAAAGGTGACCGTTTGAAGTTTTGCTTCATCAGATGTGTCAGCTTCATATGAATAATTTATAATTTACTGGTTCATCGGTTTGACTTTATAAAAGCAACCGGGACTGCAGTTACTGTACTAATTAGCCTTCCTGAGTAGTTAAAAAAAACAGATTCAAAGACTTCACAAAGATATCAGATAAATGACTAAAGACTCTTCTCCCTAGATTTAACTTAAGGATTTGATGCTTGAACATTCATTGGTTCCTAACAGACATTTGGGGACAACTGAAGAAAATAATTTGTCAAAATAAATACAGAACCACTGCTTAAACAGGAAGTTAAGGTTAATGCCATAAATAAAAAGAAGTAAAAAAGTGATGTTTCAGCTGTGGAGCCTTCTCCCAGTATCTTCAAATTATTTATCCTTTAGAAAGGATACAGACCTTTTCTGTAGTCTTGGTGCACATAACTGGAGTTCATTTATAAGATAAAAATAACTAAGAAAGCATTATTCCATTGGTGTAATATTGCCCAGGGTAAATGAGTATTGGAATGACAGAGAAGATTGGTAGGATATTCTAACCCAAGATTGATGTTACCACCTCAGCAAATTTTGCAGGGCTGATTTTAAGGCAGACACACATTCTCTGAGCCTTGTGAATCGGATTGCATATGATAGTGGTTTTATCTATCCATTCATTTCTGATTCACTGCTTAGTCCAATACTGTGCCAAACTAAGACAAAGCCTTATCTGAAACACACTGAGGATGAGACAAGAGTACACGCGCATGCACACACACACTGCACAATTTAGAGATGCCAATTAACCTAGTCAGCATGTGATTGGGAGGAAAGCAGAGCACCTGGAGAAACCCCACAAGGCAGTAGGAGAACAGGTTTATTTAACGTGTTTGTTTTCCCATTGTTTTGTGTATTTTTCTTTAATCTATATTCCAAAAGGACAACTGTTAGTTTTATTGCCATCCCATTTTTTGTGTTGTATCAAAGAATGATTTCACCAGCAGTTCCATTCAACAGAAAACAGATTTGGTGTTAAATCTATGAGCAACATGCCCCTATACTGTACATCTAAAACGGAAGTATAACAAGTTAAGAATAATTTGTTCCTTTTAATATCACAGATATATTAATCTTGTGTTTAGATTTAATTCTGTATCAGTTTTAGATTTCTTTTTTTCTTTTTTGTCAAGGGAGTGAAAAAGTAAATAAAGTAGGTAAAAATAATATTTCAGTCCACTTCATACCCAACAGCCTCATTGTATAAGAGAGAAGTAGTACAGTTCAGCTGCTGGTTTCTGGAAATTTCTCTCAGAGTAAAGACTGCTGTCCCTATGTTTAGCATCAGCCAAGGGGATTCTCCTGTACACTTCAGGTTACTATGGAAGCGAGCGAACTGGAGTGGATTTACGAGAGAGAGAGTGTTTTCCCCTGACCAGGGTGCTGCCTTTGCATCGCAATTAATGTCACATTTTTGTCTGACAGCTGAGCTGAGAGAGAGACAGAATGAGAAGGAGAGAGGAAGTAAACTGCATCACATTACTGAAGCATCCTTGCGCTGTCTGAGGCAGGCCTGGGGCATCCATTTTCCCATTTTCTTTGAAGAAGGCTTGTGAGTCATGGTTAATGCTCAGGGGTGCCGTCATTATAACAAGGGGAAGAACAAAGTACACAACGAGAGACTTCGTTTGCAGTCATTCCAGCTCCCTGTTTCAGTCTTTCTCTCTCATCCGCAGGCATAACGGTTGTGACCCTGGCTCACAGAAAGCCTCTCACATACTACACCAGCAAGTTAATCATTGCTGCCTGATTTTAATCAGCGCTATGTCATCCTTGTCGTTTCTCTTTTGTTCCATTTCTTTTGGTCATTCCGTCAAGAAAATAGTAGAACCCTTGTGTGTGGAAAGCAGCTGCTGTGGATTGTCAGAATCTCCACTCCCCCAGCCTCCTCCCACTGTGTGTCGACTGCACTGTCATGGCTCTGTTTAAATATGCTGGAAATGAGCAAGCATGTCTTTCTGTTTGGTGTAATTGTTCAAAACAAGCGTGGGCTTACGTGATAGGCTAAAGTAATTTACCTGCTATAAGATGCGCGGAGTGGAGCAGCCACACGAGATCTGTTCAACTACAGCAGCGCATCAATGCAACAGTCATTAAATCTGCCTGGGTCATTTCCATCCTTCCTTCTTCCAGAAGAACCTTCCACAGTAGACATGAATGAGCAAAACATTCAAGTATTGTGACTGAAATCCATC